ATCCAGCATTAAGACGTTTTTAACTCAAATATGAGTCCATGATCCATAATAACGCTTCCTCCAGTGAAAAAGTCCACATCAAAATCCAGCCACATATTTGTTTAGAGCTGTTTTTGCTTGTAAACGGTGCTTGATCTGTGCAGATTTCTCTCCTGATTCAGCTCAGTCATATTTTCAACAGTTTGAAGTTAAACAAATACATCTTTAAGGCATTTCTGAATTACTGTGATATTTTTATCATCCGTTTGGACTCTCGTTCTGACGGCACCCATTCACTGCAGAGCATCCATTGCTGAGACACTGATGCAATGCTACATTTCTACAAATCTGATGAAGAAACAATCTTGAATGGACTGTGGGTGAGTACATTTTTAGCTAATTACCATAATCAGTCCTTTAATAACATCTTTTTCTTCTTTTTTTATGTAGTCTTTCCTTGTAGTAGGAAAGAGTAAGAGAGCGAATCTCACCAAATCGGTCAAGATCATGAGTCAAATTTCGTTCCAAATTTCAGAGAAATAAAAAAAATTTGATTTCATTCCACCAAACGCCTGCATGCATCTAGGAGGAAATGTGCTTAGTTATGGAAATAATGCCAAATAATAATAAATAAATACATTTTTTATATTACACAAAATCTGTTTCTTAGTGTGCGCGGTATAATCTGGACATGTTTTCATGAGATTCCCCCCAAGAACAGTTTTGCAGCCCCTGTGGTTGAGTTTAAACCTAGTAAGTTTAGTTGAAACACTAGTGTAAGAACATTCAGAAACTGCGGGACATTTAAGGCTCTTTTCTTAAGGTGAAGGAGCTTATTCAAGGATTCACAAATAATGAAGTGCGTTTCTACAGATGTGAAGTTTAACGCAGTTGTGCACAGGAAATGACATCACCGGTGGGATTATCACGCGGCCGATACCAACATTAGTGTAAAACGCATCTCCTGTTTCATAGATATGCTGAAGTGATATGTAACTAATAGGTAAACTGAAGTGACGCGCTCAGTAACTCAGTAACGCTCGAAATGTGGCGTGAATAGCAATGACCTTCATCTTCATTTATGACATGTAAATAAACTCAAACGAGTCCGAGATAAATAGTGTCAGATAAAATAACGTTAAGACAGACTCCGTAAATCAACAGCGACTGAACTAACGAAACGTCCCACTCGTCTCTGCTAAAGGTTCGGTTAGATCCGTCCCTGATGAAGATGGTGATGGTGACGAATGCATCGGGCTGTTTGGTCGTCTACTCTGTTCGTGTAAGAACTTCACAGTAAAATGCTGTAAATATCAGGAACTGGAACTGTGAGAGCGGAGGGAGCGTGAGATGAGGATGGAGATTTATGCAGGTTTATGAATGTTATGTGAAGTCCTGGGGAATGTCAGCATAATACAGTGAGCATCTGTACAGACTAGTGCGATAGTGAATAACACTGTGTAGTGTGCAAGTGTAGGAGAAGTGTGGAGATAAATGATGCAGTCCAGACCACTGAAATCCAAACCGAAGATGATGACGCTCATCCGTCTCTCCATAAAACCGGAATAACAGATTGATCTGACGAGAGGACGAGAGCTACCTCAATGAAGGATCATTGGTTTCCCAGAGAACGGAGGGAGCGTATGGATGGATGGATTGAGGAGCAATGGAGGACTTTCAGGGCTGCTCTTCTTTCTTCTTTAGGGAAATGCGTTTCTTCCTGGCTGCAAGCATCTCGTAGAAGGGGTCCACGCTCACAGCGGATCTGAAACAAAACACAAGATCATCTCATGTGCCATACTTAAACCTGTTGTGTCTACTGTATCATAATTCATATGCACACTTCTAATTCCTCTAAATGATCTGCATGATCAAAACATTGCTGTTAAGCCGGTCGCACACAATCTACTCCATGTCTTGTTTAGAGTTTTGTTTTTTTTATCAAGTAAAAGCTCTTTTAGAGTAATTGGTGCAATTGCTTCAGCTGGTGCTTCACGTGTATTTTCGCTGTGAAATCTTGACTGATTTTTATCAAGTATAACTTTAGTAATATTTCCAGATGAGCACTCGCTGGACTGAAGCAGCTCAGTTTTACTTGATTCTCCATCAATCATTATCATCATTGTCTTGCATTGCATTATATGTTCATTGAAATATCATCTTACTAGGACATTATTGGAGATATAGTGTGACAACTGCTATTTAAATCATTTTATGTAAGTATCTGCTATGCTGTTATATCATCAGAATTTCATCTGACTTTTTGTCCAATAAAATATCAGCATCTGCACCAAATTTCTAACTTTTAATATTCTGCTGGTGAGGGACATATTGGAAGGCTTGTGAGGTCAAAATCTACATTTCAAAAGTGTATATCTGCTAAACTAATTTTTCTACCCTAAGAAGTACACTAGCATATATTATGTATTATATTCGAATTTAAAATGCATAATTTCAGTTAGGGTGAAGAAAAGCTTTTGGCTTCTCTCTTGAGGCCACAAGAGGGCGCATCGAGCAAAATATTACTAATGCACGTTTCTTCAAAGCATAAGATAACATGACTATCTGTGAAAAAAGTGCATCGTTTAAAATAATGTTTATAAACCAATTATAATTAAGTTGCTTAAACAACTATAAACAAAACAGCAGCAAGTATGTATGCATAGTTTAATACAAAGGGCGGAAAGCACAAGATGCAGTGGGATGGGAAATACCCGCCATAAAGTCTCGAGATATGTTTTTTCAAAGTTGAACTTGCATTAATTTTACATGGCTTTCTAAACATGCGGCTCTTTTGTGCGAGATGCGAGTGCAACGGTGATAGATGTCCCTCTAGAAAGTGCATGAAATATGCGTTCTGTGTGAACGGCTTGGTTTCAGTTTTGACGTAAACAAGATCTTCTCAGCATTAATGTTCTCTTTTCCGCTATATTTGTAATTAACGCAGCTGTGCTGCATCTAGTGGCTTCAACTGGACAGGCTAACATAAACATTATAATGCAACGACACTTACATCGTCATCGCATCTCGTGCGCCTCTGATAATGCTGCCTGACGCACACCTAAAAATGTGGATTTTTATTTTAAATTTGACGAATATTCGAAATTCTAATTTTTTTTGACAGCCCTAGTACATACGGCAGAAATGTACAGACAAATCAATTAAAGACTTAATCAAACAGATGATGAACACTATTAACAGCAATTATTATATGATGCAATCAAACTTATAGCAAAATTTGCTATGTGGGGGAGAGGTCCTTGCCCAGGGCCTGGCTCGCGTCTTCCACTGCGGGTGCACAGCGCCGGAATGAAGGACATCTGGGAAGATCGTGTCCTGGGTGCAGGGGGCCTGTGCAGAGAAGCACACAGAGTAGAGGTGGTGGGAGTGTTAGTATTGCACTGTATACTTACACCGGACTTGTGAGCATCAGCCCGGGATGTTTCCAGCGCGGCTCTCCGCTCTCTCAGGTGGGCCTGCTGGGTTTACCCTGGGTTTCTTTGCATCCTTGCAGACTATTACACGTCTTGCTTTTGGAGTGATCTTTGTTGGTCAACCACTCCTGGGTAGAGTAACAGTAGTCTTGAATTTCCTCCATTTGTACACAATCTGTCTGGCTGTGGATCTGTGGAGTCCAAACTCTTTAGAGATGGCTTTGTAAACTTTTCTAATCTGATGAGCAAATTTGACGAATATTCGAAATTCTAATTTTTTTTTTGACAGCCCTAGTGTCCTCGGAGATCTTCACAAATCCCTTCAGTGCTGATGGTTTACTCACTTGATGGTGTGGATCCATTCGTCCTTCTCCTCCGGAGTGGGAGCTGAGATCCGGTACACCATGTGGTTTCCCTCCACCACTCGACCGTCGGCCTCCGTCTTACACGCTTTAATCAGCTGCCCGCGGTTATTAGGGATGTAGAGCTCAAAACAGTTCTGCACAGAAAACACATCACCATCAGCAAGCAGAGCCCGCAATCTGTCTCTGAAATACGGCCCAGCCCTAATGGTCAATAAAGAAACCTGCAGTTGATCTATGAAAAGTGTCATGGAAATGTTTTATTTAATTAGCTGCATTTGACTGTGTAATGAGAATGTCAACAGACTTACTGGCTTTCTGGGATCTTCGACCTCTCGAATGCTCAGGTTCTCCAACGGTATAATGCCTCTGGGCTCCTTATCCTACACACACACACACACACACACACACACAGTCAGCACAAGCCATTATGGGTCAATCAGTCCTTTTAGGCAGTTTTTGAGTTCTTGACTTACTGTTGTGTACTCAAAGTAATAGAGGCAGTTGTCAGTCAGAATGAACCACCGTCTCTTCCATGTCTTCACACGACCTCCTGAGAAAGAAGATTACATGGATTAGAGGTGTAAAACACACAAGAAATTAATCATTTCCTCTGTGTCAGCCTGCTAAACTACACAGATACAGGAAGGCACGTCTACACACGCTACATTATTAGTAGAGTATCCTGCCTTAAAGCACCAAACTAAATTTCTTCTGAAAATGGTGCATCTGATCACCAGTGATGGGAAGTTTTTTTTTTAAAACTTCGGATCGACTGAATCAATTGCTTTGCAAAATGATTCACCATTTTAAAGCACATGCTTTTATTTGTCAGAACAGTGTAAATGTAACCAAAACTCGTGCATTAAAACATATTTTATAAACCAATTGCAGATGATATATTATTGAAAACGTAATGCACTAAATGCAGTTAACGAGTGAAGTGTCTGTTTAATATGTTTTATCTTATTAATTTGTGGCACTTATAATGTTGTTTTATGGAGAGCTTCATCAATCAGGCCAATACGAAAATAACAATAACAAAATAGTCCTTTTTATTAAACAAATGTGTCATTAAACTGTCCACAAACTGCATGGACACTGGTTCATGTGTTCACAGAGATTGTGAAACTTGTGCAATTTCCAAACTGTTACGATGTTACAAAGCCTTGAATACTACTTAGTCTGTTTTAAAGGTTTGATTAAACTGCAACAATTGTAACAAAGAAATAAACTGCATTCAAAAAACTTTAACAATCCAATAATTTACTAACATTTTTACAATAACAGGACCCTATGGAAAGTTTTTTAGAAAATTTTTGCTGTATGTTTTAATTTTTCTGGATTTAATACAAATTTATTACCACAAATGGTGGTAATCAAATGAAGGTATAAAACCCCTTATTTAATTCATATTTGAAAATGAATAATCAAAGAATTTTTGCAAAGAAAGTGCTGCATAGTTTACAGCAGTGCTGGGTGTAACGCGTTACTGTAATTCAATTACTTATCCACTGAAAAAGTAAAGTAAGGGATTACTGCTCATTTTTAGGTAATTTAATTACAGTTACTTCTAAAGTACTTGCGTTACATACTGTAAATAATTTCAGCAGTTCTAAAATCAATATTGAATTTTAAATCTAAATTTATCGTCTAAAGGTAAAATTGAATGCAGAATCTTTAACCCTCTGCGTGCCGGCGAGTTCACTTGCAGGATTTTGTGATAGAGAAAATAACCTAATATACTAAGATACAGATAAGACTAAAATCAATCAAACCTAAAATGGGTCTACTTTGATACGTTTACACTGACAATAACAACAAAACATTGTGCTTTTGTAAAATAAAGAAAACAAACAAGGTGCGCTTTCTGCCGTCTCTGTCTCCGTGAACTTCTATCTGCAACGCGTCACAAAAATGAACCAAAACTCAGCGAATACTTGACACACACACAGCCATGAGAAATATGACTATAGAAAGTTTGAGGTGTCTACTTTTAAATGAACCAATTAAAATCGAAAACGAATATTCTCGGATTACGTAATCCATATAAAATCTAAAGCAAGGAACAGTCTTTCCCGTCTCTGAGCTCATTATCTGCAGTCACACCTGTGTGCAAACACCTTCCTCACCTAGATACAAAACTAGATTTAAAAATAATAATAAGATTCATCTACTTTTCATCGTTTTTGGAAGAAAACCTGCTATTAGGAATAAACTGGAATTTACCTCAGAAGAACAGCGCGATCTGACGCGCCTTTATTCAGCAGAGGATGCCATTTCTGTAATTTATTATTTTTACATAAACTTGTATGGATTTTACTAGTTGGGCTTTTCATAAACATCTTGCCAAACTGAAATGTGTGCAAGGGAGTGCAATATGTTGAAATACGATATGCATTCAGATTTATATAGGAGTTTTTATTCTACTATAGCCTATAACGCTTTTACTAGGCTACATCGAACAAAACAAAGGTTTTTTATTTTTTGATATCATATTATAAAAATATAATTTATAATACGATATAGATATAAAAAGTAACTGGAATGTTTACACTGCACCATGATGAATGTTACATAAATATTTAGTTCAGTGTTTACTGATCAGATGTCGATGTTAATAATATGCTAAGCAATAAGTATTTAGTATAGTATATAAAATATCGCAATATCAGAATGTTGTTTATGTACTGTGGTAATACAAGCATATGTGCATGAACGACAATACAAAATGATGTTTTTTGTAAGGAGTAGGCAAAATTAGTATTAGTGACT